TGTACATGTGCACGTAAAGATATATATATATATAAGTAGTTATTATAAGCATTGAACTCATTTTTAGCATTTGAATGTCTTTGATCCATTAATTTTACACCTTCAAAGCACATTCTTTCATATTCTTATTGTGAATTGATATCATCTATAGGAAAGTCTAAGAATGGTATAATATGAGCATCTTCATGTACAACTAAGTAATGAATTCATATGTTACTATAATCATATCATTCAATATAGATCATCATAAATTCCTTCTTGTCTAGATGAATCATAACATCATCCCAAATGAAAATGTTTATTTTTCACACACACACACCCAACCATTTGAGTACGCCTCCTTAAAGCCAACACGCCACTTCTAATGTGCCCAACCATTTGAGTACGCCTCCTTAAAGCCAACTGTGCGAATTAACACAAAAATATAGATATTGTAAACATTTGATATAAATCTATTTATTAAACTTATTTAGACATACACAAAATTTTACAAAACGTCTTTGATATTAACCTAGTTAAATGCGTTTAGTGGATAAAAACATTTTTTTCTTAAATTACGAATATTTAAAGAAATGAAACTAACAAAAAATATTTATCTTATATTTAGATAAGACCTTTAAAGACTATACACAAAGGGATATATGTGCGTGCCAAAAACATAAATAGGTAAAGTTCAAATATGCCAACCAAATCCACTCCAAAAATTGAATATTTACTAATAATTAATAAATGTGTATGCCATAAATGGCTATGCTCTTTCATTTATTCAGTAGAGAAAAAACCCTCATTTATGAAGAAGTGATCACATATCAAATGCTTATAAGATAGATAAATTTATAACAATTAAATATTTTGGAGTTTAATCCTAAAAATGGTAGCACCTCAAACCATATGCTTGGGTAAATAAGCATCAACTCCCTAGCTACACAACTCTTAAAAATTAAAAATAAATAAAACAAAATATGATAAGAAAAAAATCACCTCGATCTTCTTAGCCATTCTTCCTCTCAATATGTATTATATTTATCTATTCCGACCTCAAATTAATGGCATCTCTTGGTCAATTATACTTATCATAAATAGAATGTGATAATTAGTTCTCTAAGCTTATTATTATCACAATGTTTGAGAGTATGATTATTATCATCTTCAAATTTGTTATGATAGGCACTTAGGTTTGATTCAATTATAACCTTTGTCTATCAATTCTATCAACCATACTTGCCACCCTTATGTCAGTCATGGTTATTACCCTTAAACACATCACAAGTATCATCTATAGGTTTATAATTAAGTTCCTTATCTATACTTTTTTTTCTTCACATTTAGATTTAATACTTATGCTTAAATTAGATCTAATATCCCTACTTAAATCAATAAAAATTAATAGTTCGTACGAACATCAACATGGACACTTACCATCTCCTTCAACAAGCTAGCAAGACTATTATCATCACTAAAACATGTTTAATGACCTTTAAAACATCATTATATTGATAGCCCTCATGTTATTTAATGAGGTAAGTTCTTGCACTCATAGTTTCTTATAAATTCTATGTGATATATCTTATTAGTGTGTGAGATCTTCATGTAATATTGGAACTATAAGGTCTATCTACAAATTTTCTAGCGCACATCAATTATGATACATTAAAATAAATATGCCTTTAAAATTCAATGAGCATAAATGATATTTAGATGAAGTTAATAATGACATGGGAGGAGCCGGCGAGGTTGTCGTGTAGAGGAAGAGGAAGCTGGGGGAAGAAGGTTCGTGTGTGGGAGCCGAAGCCGAACTCTGGAGCAGAGGATCGTGCTAATGTCGATCTAGTCAAAGAGGAAGACGAAGGAGAAGATTCGATCGTGCCCTTGCCAAGTGTCGAAGAAGAAGAGAAGTTGTGCGGGAAATGATCCTTCTCGCACGGTAATTCAATCCTGTGTGATCGAGCCGCAGAAGAAGAAAGGGAAGGGGCACTGTGCAGAGTCGTGTCGCGCCAAGAGTTTGGAGAGAAAAGGGTTTTAAATTAAATATATTAAGTATATTATAAATTATTAATAATGGGTATTTTGTTAATAAAATTTTTAAAGTAATAAAACTATTAAAAGTATTAATTTCAAACCTATAGTTCAAGTATTACAATCTTAATAATGAAATTTGCTAATTAAATTAATAATAATAAAAATAATAATAATAATAATAAAATTTAGTAACTTGAATATTTTGTAGGTGGTGACAAACTCTAAAAGCAAAGAAAATCATTCGTAATCAAGATGAGTACTTATATTTTTAAACTATTGTAATAATTTGTTTCTTCTCAAATATGTTTCCAGTTAATGATCTTTTTAAGTGTTTTATTTTTATTGAGATATTCTTTTTC